TCACCCAATCGTAGAGAGTCAAGCTGCCAATGACCATAAGGCTGGACATGGAACTATTAAGTCTGGTTTCAGTAATAACCTTCTACGAAATGAATGAAGAGGTTTATATTTCAAACAGTTTTCAAAGGAACTGGACGAGGGCTGTAGCCAGTGGGTAGCATTGATGTGGTGTAGTGATTGATTAAAACAAAACAAAACAAAAAACCCTGACTCTGTGTAACCCAGTGATAGTCTTTGGAAGAGAAGTGATAATATAATTGTGGCTATATTCATTTGGGCATTATGGGCAAAGGCATAGCTAGAAAAAATTTTCTCCAAATAGCCAATTTACAGAAGACAACACCAGGCACTGTCTTCTTAGCATCAGCTAATGACGTTCTAGTTAATTTGTAACTTGCACAATATCTGTTCCTGCTGTTGCTGCCAAGCATATTGCAGATCAAGGAGCCTGTTTTGCAACTCTGAATAAGAATCTTGGGCCACTTCACACTGTTTCGTCTTGTCAATTGGGAGTTTTGTCTGGTTCTGTGTGTGTGTGTATGTGTGTGAACTAAAGTCTGATGACTTTTAAGGAAACGAGTAATCGACTATGCGTATCCCTTGTTCAAAACACATCATGAATACTTTAATTTCTAATCCCTCCCTGTGTGCATGTAGGCCTTTGGGGGTTAGCATCATGATACATACACTTTACTTCTACTTTTCAAAATGATGGGCTAACCAGGTAGCCACTCTGTTCTCTTAAGGTTTGTGTGTGCGTGTGTGGCTGAGAAGTCTGAAGCTCTTTTCAAAATCATTTCCATTTAGCTTTGGCAAGGTTTTTTTTTTTTATTGTTCAGTGGAGAGTATCACTAATCTGAAAATTCTCCATAACTCAGACACAGTAACCACACAGTTAATACGTGGCTCATGTAAGGCTGGAAACTCTGCCTACTTTTTCCACCCTGTCCTTCTAAATCCATTTTCTCACTCCTGCCACATTATTCTGGGAGTCAGCATTCATTCAGATGTACTATGTGCCGGTTCCTCTGTGCAGGGGAAATTATTTTTATTCCTAGAGCATTTCTCCCTCCTAAAATCCTGGATTAGATTAAGCAAATATCCCGTTTATGTAAACAAACGTTTAATTAAGCAGAGTCGGTAACAATGTCAGAAACAATAAAACGGATGATTTGTCAGAAATAAACTGCAGGGCATCTGATCCTTTGAAGAGAATGGAAAGTTCACTGTTTAAAAACATGAGTTGAAGAAAACATATAGATGGACCTTGATGAGTTCCAGTTACCTAAGTGACTGTGACATTAGTATTTTGGAAAGTAAAACTCAAAAACAAAAACAGAGGTCTGGATTGTCACTTCTCATCAGTGGAGCGCTCCACAGCAGATCGTAGTGGAATCTTCATGGGCGATTTCTACCGGCAAGGAAACTCTAGAAGGTGTCAGCCTCGGAGGAGGATGGCTCCGTCATTCTGATCTATGTTAGACAGCTGGACCACGCTTGGTTACTGTTATGTTGCACCCAAGGTCACAGTCATTCTCCTTCAGGCAGAGGAAGAAGTTCAGTTATAATCAGCCGGGGGGAAAACGATTACACTCCTTGCTCAGGTAGCAGAGAAAGTTTCCGTGCTCCAAGCGTGGAATTATTTGCACAGGGAGGTAAGTGTTGTGATAAGGAGTTTTACATGTAAGGCTGGTTTCTGAGCCTGGCGAACGTCGGTCTCATTTCCCTGCGTGACTTTACAGCGCTCCAGCTCTCAGTTCCATTCCATCCCCTTCCATATCTGCTAACATCATTTCCAAGACTACTTCTTGCATCTCTCTCCCCATTTTTTTAATACCTCTTACTCTCTATCTTGCCTCTCAGATACACATATAGCAATTCAGATCATTTAAGAATTTTAGAATCAATGGGTTTTATTTGTGTAGAAAGAGCAAACTAGAAATACTATTGTTTGTTTTTTTTAAAAACAGCAGGCCAAATTCCTTTTTTTCAAGTTCTTCCATTCACACCTCTGTACTACTGACTTCCTAGCAAGGCAGCGTTTCTGGGCCAGTTTTCGTCACAGAGGAGGTTTTACCATCACTGTTGGGTTTGTCCCTTTGCCTTCCACGTGCCAGAGCTGCTTTTTTTAAAAGATGGGCTGGTGGGGGGCGGGGAGGACACTACCGTTCTACAGGAGGGAATCAAGTAACGCCGAATGTGAATTTTTTCGTTTTTATAACTTCTGCAAATTTTCAGTAAGTCTGTTCTAGTCATTTCCTTTATGTAAATGATGTTGGGGGAGAAATAAGAACCTATTATGGGAATACAATTCAGAATTTCTCTAAGAAAATTCAAACCTGTCTTCAAATACAGGTCTATGGTGAGATCTTACTCACCGTTACAGTATACGATTACAATGAGAAAATTATTTTGATTCAATTCTGAGGGGAGGTCTATTAAAGTGGTGCATAATTTCAGAGCAGTTCTCTAGAGATGAACTTTTTTACGGTAAAATGAAGCAGTGTAACATAATGCAAATCATACTACCATTACAGAAAGGAAATTAAAGTTGGAAGAATCTGTCAAAATATTGTGAGAGATGAGGAATCAAACTTTATTGCTTTATTTTTAGAATTTGCAAAGATGTTCCACGGCAGAAATGCCTCCGGGCACTTGCAAAATGGGAGGGAAATGAAAAGAGCAGTCTTCCCCAACTGCCTGTGACTTCAGCCCTCCGCCCCGCCTCCTCGCAGGCACCCTGCTCCCTCCTTCCCGACTGGTCCATCTGCAGCGAGGCTGGGTCCACAGCCAGTGTCTGTCCTTCGGGCTTTGTGATTTCAGATGTTTCCTAGGACGTAAGCCCTTCGGCATACTAATTGTTTCTCGTGGTGTTGAAACTAGATTGTGTCTCATTAGAAACTCTCCATCACCTTGTTGAAGAGTTTGCGTTAAGGTTTCAGAAAAATTCTAAAAACCTCAAACATTCAGGGAAAGGAAAGAAAGCCCTCGCCTGTATCATGTTTGTCGACAGTTTCCTTTTTCTGAATGTATTATGACAGAGTTTATGATATTACAGTTATGTTTACCCTTTAACCTTTCAATCAAGCCACTGACACCATTTTCTTAAAAAAAGTAAAATAAAATCCACACTATCTAGTGTTTATGTTTGCTTTTTGTCTGTGGAGTCACAGAGGGGCTGATAAGTTCGTTTTTTTTTTAAGTTTAAAAAAGCAGAGGAGCCCTTAGCTACCACTTTCTCTTTGTCCTCTCTTAATGACTGAAGCCAGATGATAGTTTATATAAAATACTGAGGCTATAATGTATAGAGAGCATCTGGGTTTAGCAGTCTGTGCATTCTGGATTGAATATGCATGCACAAGCAGAGCTTGTGCTGTGTGATTGTGACTCTGTGCTTCTAGAGAGGTAGCCTTAATGATCTGAAGTCACCAGCTACGAATCTCCGCCCTTGACTGCAGTGAACTCAATTATTTTTTCAGTTTTAAAATACGCATTTAATTTTTAAACTCCACTGTAATGGGTATCAGAGACTCCATTAACTTTGTAAATTACAGTTTTTTATAACAAGACTATGATACATGTGAACCTGTATAATTTAAGGTAAAATGAGCCCTCACCTTCAAGTAGATATCGTGAGAGCCCAAAGCTTCTATGTCATCCTCAGTTCTTATTTGCACAATAACAGATCGTACTTTTCTTTGCACAGGAATTAGATCTGCTCTAGAATAAAGTTGCAACAACTCAATTCATTCTCACAAGTTCAGGCTTGATAACATTACTGAGGATAGTTAATGTATCTCTTCTATTTTATATATACATATGTATAATATATAAAATGTAGGTATTTATATGTAATATATAAATTATCTATTTTTATATGGTGAATAGATGTATGTAAGAGAATACAAAAAAATTTTTTGGTATAAATTTAGGATTTGAGAACTTGAGAGACAGAACTTGAAGCTCTGCCCTAGCTCCCTCGGGCTTCAGAATTCTAACTAGCTGAACTGCTGCTTTTGATGGTTTCTGTTGGCCAAGACTGAGAGAGCCAAATGTATTATAAAACTTTATATTAAAAATCTTAATAATGTGTTTAAGCACGCACTTTTGATGCCTGGGACTATGTTGAATTGGTTTCCGAAAGCATTTAGAATTTTTCTTAAACCCAGAAGAAATGTCTTTTTGAAATATCGCCCCTGTTTACCAACAAAACATAGCAATTATAATAGGACACATTGTAAAGATTTTTAATTTTCCATTTGTGATCTTATTTTCTTTGGTGGTGAAGTCTTTAAAACCCCAACTCTAAAGTGAAATTGGAAAGTTCTTAAGAAAAGAAGTCTGTTGTTACAGAGACTAGAGTGGGAGAGAATAATTACACACAGCTTTTTGATAAACAGTCTAAATTATGCTTCAAAGGACAGATGTGGGTTTAATAATCTGAAACATTTGCATTTTCAGATTAAACTTTGCTTGATTGCATTGTACTTGATATGTATACTTAAATCTATATGTTAAACGTTATACTTTGATATAGCACATCTTGTTTGACTTTGTTCCTATGATCTGACAAGCTTCATTATATAATAAACTAGTTTAAATAAATCTTAAAGACATAAAAGTGTTTCTGACAGTACGAAAAAATTTAAAGCACACAAATGATATATCGGTTAGATGTTCCAGAGAGAGTCAAAGTTTTTTCATTCAAATCTTTGAACATGTGTTTTGAATAAAGCTGTAAGGCATTTTCCAGTAACCAGTGTTGTATTACAAAAATGAGTAAAGTAAAACAAAAGGAAAACATGTTTCAACATTTTATTCAGTATTGTCACATATTGTTGCACATTTCCTGCTGGAAGTAAGTGTGACATTTGTAATGCTAATTTTCAAACCTAACCTTTTTAGATCATATAAAATATTACTGGGCTATTGTGCTCTTGTCAGACAAGCACAAATAATGAACTGCTCTCTCAGAGTTCACATGGGTTCCTAATCGTTTATGTGCTCTTCTGTTGCAGCTCTGATGTAAATCCATCATTATAATTTTTGAATTTTCCTACTAAATTCTATGCAGGAATAACCAATCATAAGTAGGTTACGGAACACTTGACCCAATATTTGTAGCCTTTCGTACAGAGTTGATTCCAGGCAAGAATATCACGATAGTTAAATCAATTGCCAGAGTGGACAAAGATTTTGATAATATAATCTGGTGATATTATGAAAAAAATAAGCAAAAAGTTTGCTTAAAAGTAGGAAATTCCGTGTTCTATTTCTAGGCCTTTTTTTTTTTAAATTGAAAATTAATGACTTAGCTGCTTCTGAAGTACAAAAATATAGCAGAACATATATTTGGTTATTTTGCTTTTCATAATAAACGACTTGTCAGGCGCTAACTACATAGCAGTGGGGAGCAAAGTATTGAGCATGTGCAAATAATTTCGATATTTAAAATGCCAAATCGGGGAGGGGGTACTTAAAAATCGAGCTATGAACTAATTTTTAGAAAAATGGGTGTAATTCATTTGAATGTTATATTTCTTATATTATAGTATGTATTTTAGTAAAATATTAGCTTTGGAACCAAATCTGAAACATGTCCTTTGTAAGCTATCAGTAACAGTACATTTCTAATAAGGGAAGTTACTTCTTCTGAAATAAGGAAAGCTGAAATTGAATATTCGAGCCGAGGAGTGTTCCCTTTTTACAATGTTAATGTGTTGAATTGTTTTACAATTTAAAGTTGTTTTAAAGTTAAATTGTTTCGAATAATTGAGAGCCTGAATCAATGAAACACTTCAGCCTGTCCCTTTAGCAAAGTTGGGAGTTCCTATAATGAGGGTTTCCCAGTTGGCCAGCCCCGGGATGGGTGTTTGGTTTCATACACAGAGTGTAGTCAGCAGCTGGCCAGACTTCTTTGCACCACTCCGTGGGGTCCCCAGATCTGACCTCCGAGGTTAGGAGTATTTATGTGAATTCTGTCATTGTTGTGTCTAGGAATTTAGACAGACAGAATTTATGAGGAGGGTGGCAAAACACGTTACTTTTCCTTTCACTCTTCCTCCGACGATAAAATAGTTAAGTTTTTCAGAAAAGAATGTGCACCTCTTTTCCTCGGTTTTCGAGTTGGTTATACTAAATTTCATTTTTATATCCAGCCGTTGTTTTTAGGAGCTTGCGTTCAGTCCACGTGAGGGTAAATTGTGGTTGTCGGGTAGGTTTCTACCTAAGCTTTGTGGCACGTGGCTTCCCTGATTCATACCCTGTCCAGATCGGCTTGTGAGCACTTCTAAGTGAACGTATCTCAGCAGCCAAGCCAAAGTCAATATCGTGAGCACTTGGGCTCAGATGCTGTTTCAGCTTGTACAGAGTTTGGTTATAGAAGTGATTTTGCTTCAGCTCACAGCCACGTGAAGAAGAGAGAGCAGGTGTTAGTGCCCTTATTTTATGGATGAGAAAGTTGGGGCTCACAAGGGGTCAGCATTTTGGGGTAACCAGTGAAGGAGCAAATTTGGGTACAGTCATGTGTTTAATATATGACTTGGGGGCAGTGTCCTGTCTGGCTTGATCACGCTGCATCCCCGTGCCTGCTGCGTGGAATGATGTCTAGTAAGTGCTTGAGAAGGGCATCAAATGAATGAACAAAGACTTAGAAGCAAGAGGGCCTGACCCGGTCATGCTGCACTGGGGGTGGGTATAGGGCTCGAATGATGAGCAGGCTCCGAAAGTGTGCTTTCTTTTTCGAGGAGATACATGCCTTTAAGAGATTTCCAGAGACGATGAAAAGGAAATAACTCTTCCCTTTGTAGAATTTTGTAGATGAGACGACTGGTGTACAGCGGAGGTTAAGTAACTTGCCTCAGGTCACAAGACAACAGCAGTGGCTCCAAGTCCCAGCTTGTGACCACTGCATGATACTGCCACTTGCTACCCTGTGAATTCCCAGTCTATTGGTTTAAGTCCTCATACGAAGGGGAAATGACTGGTCACAATGATTTTTTTTTTTTTTAACTCCAATAGCTGCCGGATTATCTGTAGAGATCTTTTGGCCTCTGTGAGTCCTAGAGTTGCTTGAAAACTGTCTTGTTCCTTGGGGGCCAGTTGTGATGACCCAAGGCATTGTTGAAACTCTGAGGGTGAGATATTTCTTCAAGAGCCCCTCATTAGGGATGTCATTTACATCCAGCCATAAGCTTTGTTCTTTGGGGACAAGAAAGATACACATTAAATTTAGGATCGTCATCCCTTAGAAAGGAGGAAGAAGGAAGGTGTTGGAAACAGGCAAAGAGGAGGCTCCTGCTCCGTTGAAAGTGGGTTTGGTTTTTCTTTAACCTGTTAGATTCTGCTTTCTTTAAGTTATTTTTAGATTTGTTCAAAATCACTCCTAAGTTTAAAAAAAAAAGTTAAGGAGCATAAAATAAATCTGAACCTATAGACGACCAATAAACATTTGGTGACCCCGGCATTAATGGGTTCAAGAGCCAAGTTTGCGCGGGCGGCTTTTAATCACGGCCTGGAACAATCACAGTCTCTTTTTCACCCTGTGACTGAGGTTGATAGAAATCAGTTGCTCAACATGGAACTTCAGAGAGAAAACGTCATAATATTTTTTTAACTTCAAAGGCCCTTAGAGACCAACCAGATTGAAAAATCTAAGGCATAGAAATATTAATTGACTTGAGAGATGCCACAGAGATAGTTGGTTCAGGTGTTCATTAGTTCAAGAAACCTGCATGGACTGCCTGCCATGGGGAAGGAGCCGTAGGTGTTGCTGGGGACACACTGATGAAGAGGAGAGTGTCCGCGAGGGACTTGCAGTCTTCAGAGGGAAGGCACCTGGATAAACAAATAATTATAATACAAACTACTAATTGCTTTAACAAAAGACGAAATTGGTGGTCTATCTGTCTCTACTGATCACCTATGCATCTACCCAAGTATGTATGTGTGCGCGCGTGTGTGTGTGTGTGTGTGTGTGTGTGTGTGTATTTATCTCTCTCTCTCACCTGTCTATCCTTAATACATATAAAACATGTAGCCCAGTGCTTAGAACATAGAGTTCTTAATAAACAGTATTTGTGTGATCGGTTACTACCTATAACCCCCAGATTTCTCATTGCATTTTATAGCATTTAGAGAGAATTCTACTCAGACTGCTTGTTCAGCCCTGTTACCCTTATATTTGGGAGGCTATGAAACCTTACTTAAAGCTCTCAGGCAAAACTGTTAGCCACCATGCAAGGCCTTGTAATACTCTGTAGCTATGCTTATTTAGCCATAATTTAATCATTTGTTACATAATTTGGCTTCAACTTACAAGATAAACTCATTCATGTCAGGCACTGTCTCTTACTCATATATGTAGGCTCAGGCTTAGAACCTAATAGGTGATCAGTAAATGTCTGTTGCTTGAATGAATGCAGCTTACAAAGGGTTCAGCCAGGTGGGTGGGGAGGCGGGAGAGGTGGGAGAGAGGTTAGGTATCCAAACTGCTTCTTAGACTTTTCTTTGAATAAAAGCAATTTTGAGGCTTACGAAACGGGAATATCATGGTGTTGGTTGTAAGGCTTGACTTGGTTACAAAGGTTTAACTCTTAAAAAAAAAAACAAAAAAACTCGGGGTTGAGGTAGAGCTCAGTGGTAGAGTGTGTACTTAGCATGCATGAGGTCCTTGGGTTCAATCCCCAGTACCTCCATTAACAGCAGCTCAAAAAAGATGTAATTTTTTTTAAATTTAAACATAAATAAAAACTGAAAAAGACTCATTTCTAGATCACATGAGTATCTTCTTTTATGATTCCTCCACCATTCAATGTCCTTGCAATCTTAGCAGCAAATTCTACTCTAAAATAATGTTCTTGCTCTAGTAGGTATAATTTCTAGTGCAAAACAAGTAAAATAAAGAGAAATATATTTATCTATTATGTAGAAGTTTTATTAACCCTAGGGTTGTACAGAAAAAGAAATAACCTGATTTTTGGTCTTAACTCCAGAGAAGTTAAGTTTCAAATAGCAACTTTAATTAGATATATAGAGCTTCTCACTGAACTTTCAATGAGATAATTATGTTTTGAATCTGCTATGGGGTATATGTGTATGTGATTTTTACATAGTGCATAAACTAAGATAATAATATGCAGAAAAGGAAAATTATTTTTTAATCTGCAGTCTAATCATAAAGCTGACTGAGCAGATGTTTTAGGATTGGCTGTTCATTTACTTATCAATTATTGGAGGTACATATTAGACACTCATGTAGACAAAAGAGACAAAGGTCCCTCCCTGCTCAATATCATTCTGATACTTTTAAAAATCCTATTATCAATGAGTAGCTAATGCCTTTAACAAGAACTCACTAGTGTGTTACTGAAATACATAATACATACATATTATATATATATATAATTCCATCTTACATATATATCAATTTTAAAAAATGTCTGTAGCTGGCCACATTTTTGCACAATTTTCCCTTACTCAACTGGTCTACAGAGAAGGCATGGATATCCATTTGTATAACTCAGTATGCTGACGGAATCCTAGCTTCAGAGACTTGTGGATAACTTCAGCGGTCTGAATTTGATTATCCTCAAAATAAGGGAAACAATCAAAGCAGTGTATGTGGATTTCATAGTGTAACTCCATTAAAATCAGTGAGAACTCTGCACACCTAGAACACCTGTTCACAATTCAAAAATTCAAGCCAGCAGTTCCACTTAAAAGATCACTAAATCAGCAGTCTCATAGTCTTTGGGGATCCTAGTTTGATCATCTCACTTGCTTTCTCATTTAACTTTGTCATTCTACAAACCCTTTATTACGGGCAGGAAAATTTACACAAGTCTTTCAGCCTGGTGTAATTCTGGGGGTGTCGATCCTGTTTGAAGTGAGCCTCAAAAACTAGATAAATGGGGAGCTATCTTAGAAACATCACCAGTTGGAACTTTGGGAAAGAAAATGAACTGCCAGCTGTCCTCCAATATGAATTGGTTAAAAAAGAAAAGGTAAATTTTAAAATATTCAAGGCATGTGAACAAAATTCATTTTTAAGCTATGAATCATAACCTGTGATGAGTAAGCACTTATTCTGGCCAATAGCATTACAGTGAATTGAAATCCATTTAGAAGACTGATAGCAATAAATTAATTACTTTCATTCACAGTGACTTTCAAGGCTCTTACATTTTAAGTTTTCATGGACTGTTACATAACTCTTCTTAGAGTATTTTAAGTTCTTTTCCCTTTTCAGAAGTCAGATATGCCGGGTATTTTACCTTACATTGCTCCAAAGTTTTGTGTTTCATCATGAAGAAAAAATTTAAACAAGGGAAAATATAAACAAGGCAATAAATGAATATTTAAGATTTTTTTTTAGGATCTTAGCCTGTTAACCATTTGTCCATTTACTGTAAATTACAAGTTAATTTTATCTACTTGTTGGTTAACACCAATACTTGGCTTTCTTTCTGAACAGTTAACTTAGGTTAATAACATACTTTGGAAGAGTACATACCTGCATTAACAATTCTGTATTTTTTTTAAACTGGTCTTAGCAACTAATGCAATGGTTTTATCTTTTATTATATTTTGAAACTGAAATTTAAACATAGTTTTGAAAGGATTTTTCTTTTTAATGGTGGTGAGTTTTCAATCCTCCAAACATGATTTTAATTTAAAATAGAATTATAGATGTCTACCATCATCAGTCGATACTCTGCTCTTTCAAAACAGCTTCTCTAAGTGCTAAGGTCTGTGTTCTTGTATATATAGCCCTGATGCTAGGTACCATGCCAGGTCTGCCTCGGTCAGTGCTCGGGAAACACTCACTCATATTCTGAGCCTCATCTGATTGATTTTCTACAAGTGTATTGTTAAAATTTGAATTGAAGTGGGGCAACATTATTTACTGGAATCCTAGTCTATTGAGCATGAAGGGACCCATCAGAAGGATGAACCCAGCCCCAGCTGTTTAAAGATGAGACCCGCAGAAGCGCAGTGAATAACCAGCAGCCATGGGGCACTGGGCTTCGATTTTGCCCACGTGGTTTGGCTGGTCACTTCAATTTGTTCTTAGTCATATGATTAGGTATACGTATGTCTATTAAGAAGACGACACTGTGGTAGCTCTAGTAAATTAGGCTAAGTAGGCATTTAAAAGGGATCTGGATTTAAATACGCCATACACCATTTACAAAACAAAGTTTTCTGAGCAACTCAGTGGTGCTTCTATTTTTGGAACCTTGCAAACAATCCAGGGGCACAGCCTCCTATGAGCTTGTTCTGTGAGTTACCAGATCGCATCCCCTCGGGAACCCCTTCTGGGGCCCGCCCCCTTCCATTTCCTCACATCCAGTCATTGAACATCAGGGTTGAAAAGGAACTTAAAAAGCCATGTGACTTCACGCGGTGCCAAAATTTCTCTTGAATTTAACCCCTCCTCCTGGTTGTCTCATTGTCGCCGCTTAGTCATCAGAACCTCATGGACTTCCTAAAGGGGCTGCAATTTTTACTTCTCCAATTCAGAGTCCAGACTTCCCACAAATGTGTATGCCTAACGCACAAACAGGACTGCATTATACCCAGCGCAGTGCCCCTTAACTGCTCTCCTCGCTTTAAGTAATTAGCACCCCCTCTTTTACTGAGCCATTCCGGACTCTGCTGCTCCTGGGTTCCAGCCCCCTGCCCTTCCAGCTTTGTCCGCCACTGAACTCCTCTTCTGTCGGGCAGTCCACAACACAGCTCACTGTGCCCATCTTTATAAATGTTGGATCTGAGCCAGCCTCAGTAATATTTCAGTTTTTGTTTTTGCTCTTCTTTTAACCTTTAAAGTAAAGCCACCTCCATTTTAGTCAACCTAAAGTAACCTAAATTGTTTACTTTTTAAGGTACAGCTACTATGCTTTATCTCATTGGTCTGAATGAACCACTTCCTCTTCTTTGCATCAGTACTGTAGAGTGCACACTGTACTTTCTCTCTTCCTGGCTTTTTAAAGACAACAGTGTTTTAGCATTTCTGTTCTCTTCATGACATTTGAATGGTGCGTTTTCTCCCCCACTAGAAGGAAAGCAGGAATTTTTATCTGATTTTGTTTCGTGCTCTGTCCCCAGATCATAGGATAGCTTGTAGATCCTCAGTAAACATTTGTTAAATGAGCAGATAAGGTTGCTCATTACCAGGTGCTGGATTGCACTGATTTGAATAGAACACTTCTTGAAAATATATTTTTCCATGTCCTTTACTAAGATCGTCCTTGGTTATTCTCTTAGCAAAGTTCTTAATAAATTTAGGCCCAAATGATCAAAGATGGTGAGAATTTTACTGAATCAAAGAAAGAGGGAATGTGTCCATGCTTGTTCCTTTGAATATTCTTGGGGAATAAAGTAGAGGAGCCATATATTTTCTTATTTCTTTACGATTTGCTTAAAGATACTCTAAGAAATAGTTTAAACAATCTTCCTAAATATACTGAGAAATATTCTAGACAGTCCTCTAATGTTTAAATCTTAAGATGACTTTTGCCAAAGTGAGTAGTTTGGACAAGATGTTAAATTCACTTCCTTTCTAAAATATTTTGTGTTTGTTTCTTAATCCCAAACTATTATTGATTTGAATACTGTAAAGTACAAGGTAGAAAACACATCTTGAAAGTTAACAGTATCTTATAGGCTAATTAAATATTCTGAATACAATTCAAGTTCCACATCAGAGTAAGAATTTAGGCATAAAAAGCAATGGCAAATCTGAATCATCAAGAAAGAAAGGGGCTGAGAGTTCCCAAGTACGGGAGGGACACCTTGAGAAGTTAAAGCATATCGTTCAAGGTCAGCTAGAATAAAGTAAGACAGGTGAAGAGGTTTATCATAGCTTGCGTAATTTTTAATCTAGAAAAATTTCAGTGACTTATAAAAATACATTTTCCGTGTATTATAAACTGTGGAATAAAGTATTTTCCTCTTTCAAAAAGAAGCCATATTGCATAGGGGAAAAAAAAGGGAGTTCCAGCTTTGGAAGAAAGAGAAGAGGCCCAGATTTGAAATTTATTAGATGTGTTATGTAGTCTCTCAGCTTTGTTTCAAAATCTGGAAAATGAGTTTAGTTTTACCTGGTTAAGTTTGTTAATAACGTGTTGGTGTTCAGGCAGGATTTCCTGCTATCTTACTTATAGGAGCCCAGTAGAGCCCTAAAAATTCCATCTCTCCTTCTCCCTTAACAGTTTCACTTCTACCTAATTACAGAATTTAAGCATCCATGCAGGGTTTGAAAAACTGGCTTCAGTGATAGCAAAAAGCTTGAAAACCACAGAAATAATGTATGTAAGCCAGAAATTATCATGCCCTTTTAAATTATAGCTTCCATTATGGGATAATACATGCTAAATCTATTAAACTCTATAAACATGAGCCTCCTGGTACTAAATCGTAACCTCTCAGGTCACCTGGACAAAATGTCTTACAGGGGAGCACCTCTCATGTGGAACTGAGCCCTGGTGCAGGCATTGCTACAACCTGAGGTTTTCCAATCACTTAAGTTTCTTTTGCTTTGGTTGTCGTTTCTGCCACTAAATTAGGTTATTGTAGAACTGGGCGGTGAGAACAACTAGAAAGACTATTACGTGCAAAAGTACAAGAGAGGTAATGTGAAAATACCAAAAAAAGAAAAAAAAATCTTTGGCATCATTCAAGCTGGGAATGAATTATCAAGACCTTCAAAAAGACAAAAGAACTTGGAGCAAATGATGGTGTTTAATTTGATCAAGACAGTATAAGCGTTCTTAAAAAGAAAATTTGCACACTATCTGGAAGCCATAAGTTTACAGAGACCTCATTTACACCTCTACTGACAGGCTAGTAACGGATTATCATGAATAGTTTGGGAGTTGGGAATACATTTTTAAAGTATACAGATGCTAAGGTGAAATTTGCACATTAAAGATTTACATTTCATGCATATAACAACTTGCAGAAAGAACGACCTTCTAATGTTCTTATATTCCGCTATATAGAATTCTCCTTTGAAAATATTCTGTATTTCAACATAATTCTGTGAATTTCATGAAAATGACACAACAAAGTTGAACTCAGCAAGCTTGCAGCTTATAGAGTTAATTAATGAGGAGTGTCACAGGATTTACAAATAATCCAATCCATCAAAGTACGGTGATAATAATATCACTGTTGACTACATCGGATTGAGATTAATCAAGCATTGGCGTCTTGGGCTCTGGGAAAAATATTAAGTACTAGAGCGTTCTATCATTACAGTAGTGTGAATGCTGATGAAAGAACTGGTGGTTAGAATCCTCTTGTGGAATTAAATATGTCAAAACAACTTATACACAGTGGAGCTTACTTTGCATAAAAGCCAAAAAACTTGAAAAACTTAAAAGACAAACAGTCATAGCATGAAACTACAGTAGTACAAGTGGAATAGTTTAAAACATTACTAGAAAACTATTTGAATGTTTTTAGGCCAGCCAATTTGAATGGCTGTATCCAGGGTGATATTCAAAATATTGAACAGACAGCTTGGCAGGCACTGATCAGCCCAACAGACACGCTGTGTGGTACATCTCAGTCCAGCGTAAGCATGCACACAGTGCCAAATTGTGGGGGGTGGGGAGGCTCAAGAGCAAGTAAGTACACCCCAGTATGCAAAGGTCCCAGGGTACCATTCCTAATACTCCTGACCTGGGGGCATTTATTTACCTTTGTAAAAGTAACCAAGGTGATACTGATAAACAGGAGTTTGGGAACCACTGGATTAGATGCCCTGTTTCAACTCAACCCAGAATGAATGGCCAAGTGAATAAATTCTCCTGCAAGTAAAGATTTCTCTCATCAATCGGCTTCAAGTGAGCTGAGTTGCATAAGGCCAAATGGATACCCTACAATAAGAATTATCCCAGTGCAAACAGCAATTCATAGGTATGATGTAGTCAAATTCATTCAAATCAATTGCTTGTTTATAGTTCAAGTACTTTAGAAATTGACAGTGAAGTAGGGACATGGCTCCTCGCAGGTGCTCTGAAAACCAGCTTCATTTTAATGTGTCTCTAGTAGTTACTGTTGTTAGAGTTGATGTGGCTTTGCCAGGATGCCAAGCCCGCAATAGGTTTCACACTTTGAACTAGCTTTCAACTTTATCTAAGACATGTGATGAGTTGTCTGAAGGCAGGTGTAGGACAGGCTCACTGAGATATCTACACATGCACACACTGACATTCCTATTAGCAAAATTCAGAAACGGATCCGAAATCGTGGAGGAAATTTTTCTTTGGTTGATTTTGTTTTTGTGTGTTGCCAGTTAACACTGAACTGGATGGACCACATCCAACTTTAGTTTTAGGAATCAGGGCTGAAGGACGTGTAAAGTTCTGTGATGGTTAAGCTTCTTTTCCAAATCGCTTTTCTTGGTCTTGTTTGTTTTGTTTTCCATCAGCCTAGGTTTGTGAAAAATCGATTTCCTTACTGATACATCTAGAGCATTATTAATGGTGATGCGATGTTTTATATGTCAGGCTCTTGAAATGATTTAGGTAAAAGAGACATTAGTTTCTTCAGTTTCAACTAAAATGATAAATTCTTCTGCTACATCTGTGCTCAAGGAAATGCCACTAATATAATCTCATTTATATAAATACTTGTCAGGTGACTGCCTAATTTTATAGGCATCTGAGCCTGCTTCGAGCATGCCAAGGCCACGGTCCTTGGAAGTTCCTTTGTGTTTCAGCCTATGGTATCAAACACGGCTGGCTTCCCACCCTACCCCCGAAAAAGCAGTTTGAATGTTATCACATCAAAGGGAAAGACGCCATTGTCTGTAAACTGTCTTAGATCTGTCAGAATAAATCAATTATGGGACAGAATTCATTGGAGGTACCCTTTCTTCCAAACAAGAAGACCCCCCCCCATTTCCTTCTCAGAAATGTAAATATGTAATATATAATATATATATTTTTTGTTTGGTGAAAAGATACCAGTAAAGTGATAACATCTGGCTGGAGCAGAACGCTGCCAGCTAAGGAATGGTTTCCTCTCTGCGGGTCTGACCAGAGTCTGATGTTGTACAGATGTGCACCCAGGCCTGACTGTAAAAGTTATAAACATTGTCATAACATTGTTCGACTTCTCTAGTATTTCCTGTCTTCTGCTTAGCACTTTATTACTAAGTCTGGCCCGCCGCCAAGTGAAATGCAGGGAGTTAGGGCCTCTGGCTTGAAATTTAAAACAAGTCCAGAATTCATTGGGTTTAATTTGATATGCGAACTCTGATAACTCACACTTGTTAAAATAAAGCCGCTTACCATTCAAGTTAGATTTACACAGCTTTGAGAGAACACGGGCGAAGGGGAGTGGGGGGAAACACATTTTTCAAAACTTTAATATTGGCTTTTAGCTCTGGTTTTAGAGGGGGGGCGGGGGAGGGGGAGGATGCGGAGCGGGGAACAGCTGATTCAGAAGCTGGACGGCTTACAGCAAACTTGTGTTCATTTCCTGTATTAGAGGCAGTTCCCTGGGCACAGAATGGGCCTTTCTTTCAACACTTCTGAGCACGTTCTTTCTCTTGGCTCATTTTCAGATTAGGAAGGCCACATGAGGCTCGTTGCCTATACATCATAACAAAAAGGTGAGGTGAAAACAAACGAACGCTACGCCACCCGGCTGATTTTCTGCAAAGGGTATCTCATGCCAGGGTTGAACAGAGCATCATTGAAGCACCAGCATGAAGACATGTTAACCCAATTTCTCCTGTAATGTATACATGATTGATTGGCAATTTTTGGACCACAGGCTGTGGTTAGGATTACATCAATCAGGAAGCAGTAACTCTGGAGGGACTTCCCTTAAATGATCTAGTGTTTATTGGCGAAAGTGGTTGCATTTTTTGCTGTCTGTTTCTTTCATGTGTTCATCAGTTCCAGTCTTGTTTGACATGCAGTATCCGTGCATGAGATAGGTCATTTTTCCTCCTTTTATCCCTGTTACTCACTTAAAATGCAAGATGACACACTTAGCACGATGTCGGGTACGTTGAATGCACAAATTGAAAAGGAAAAAAGAAAAAGAATTTTGAATGACTGAGAAATGATTAGGGAAGCAAGAATACATTTAAGTGTGCGGGTGACCAGATGTGGATTGTACGCTCTTCAGAAGTGGTTCGGATCATTTTGTGAATTAACCACATGCCCACGGTTTACCTGGAGAGCGTCACTGATCTACGTAGATCACTGCATGTATAAAAATATCGCTTAAACTCAATATGCAGTTTTTAACTTCCTTCCATAATTACATTACCTCATATAGTCCTAGTAAATACAATTAAATGTAACTATGTGAGAAAGACTAGGCTGGAGGAGGAATTTGCTGGATGCTGGTAGTCCTCGATGATCAGACACTTTGGTGGGGGAGGAGAACAGGAAAAAAAACTCATCTGGAAAGTGCCATCCTCCGAGTTCTGCTTGCTAGCTTTGTGGTCTTGCGGGTTTCCGTCATGGTCCTGCACATATATAACTTGCTGTGTTCCCAAAAGCTTGTGTTATGGATCTATGAAATTTTTGTAAGGTGTGAATACGAAAAAACTGTCCCACGGCTCTGCTGTTAATTTGTTTTTATTGAAAGAGAGGCAAGAAGGAGGCACATGTGAATGCAACCACTTTTCACTGCTCAGTGTTTTCACGTGTAATGGGTGTTCGGGGAGGCGCGGTGACACTTGAGTTACAGTTCATAACTCTGGAGGAGAAAAAAAAGTTCCTGACACAGATCTTCCAGGCCGCCAGAGTCTAAACTTATAAAACGGAAAGGTGGAAAAGAGAAACATGTGTACTGTTACTTCAAGTTCAAGGTGAAGAGTGCTTTCTAAAAGAGTCAGAGCCCTAGCTAGCGGTTTTCTTGAACCAGTCCTCACAAAGTCATTGGCCCTTCGTCGTATTGTCTAATTTTTGCAAATGGAATGTAAGGCATTGGAAAGTTAAATAGCGTGAAGAATGAAAAGTATGCTCAAAGCATTTAAGATGGTCGGCCAGGCTTGTGTCATTCATAGCAGCTCCTGCGGACCGAGAAGGGCTCCTCCGAATGCCCCGCTCATCTAATCACATGGGGTTTGGAATTCAGTTTCTGGCTCCGCATCACGATCAGAACAGATGTTTCCCAGGCTGCCTAGGTGGGTGCAAGAAATGGATTTCAGGAAAAACTCGCTAAATGTATAATCCGATTTGGGGTAAGAAAACTTTGGTATCGTCTGTCTCAAGATTCTCCATTACAGGCAGACTAGTGGCCCCGAACAAGATACGCTGTGTGTATAGTTCACCACATTCCTGTAGGCTCTTTTTTTTTCACACCAGAAATGTTTTCACTTTTTTCCTCTTCCAAGTATTTGTGTCTGTGTATGTCTGTGTCTGTGTGTGGGTTGTTTTTTTTTTTAAATCACATACCACTTTGGCATCTCCAAGCGAAGACAGCATGCATTTTAAAGTGTTATGTGTGAAGTTCAAAGTATTTCCTGCTATTTGGGACGGCTGCTTTGGCCATTATTTTTCTTCCAGCCGTCTGATGGGAACCCCGCATTAATTATGTATGCCTTTATTGGAATGATCGAGTTAAACGGCTAGTTGGTGTTTGCCAATCTCCTCTGAATATTAAGTAGGCAGACGAGAACACCTCACCTCAGTATTATGCTTTCCATCTCTGGTAGCTTGTTACAAAAGGAATATGTAGCAAAGAATACAGACAAGAAATCATGAAATCTTGGTGTGGGGCCAACAGACCTCTAGCTGGCTGCGGGATCGGTGAGAGAGCAGCCTTCTGCTGTCAGAATCAACATTACTCAGCCAGTTGCAGAAGCTCTGAAGCCTTGGATTTGTTTGCAGTGAGAGATTTGTTGTGGATTTTTAACAAGGCTCCTGTGTGTGTGCCATGCTTAGTAAATATTGGCCTTCAGGGTATTTTGCAGTCACGCTGAATGGACTGTTAGTTTCCCCAAACTGCAAAGTGCAGAAAATCCGTTTTCCTGATTTTGTTGCCACTGAGATTGCATCATAAGCTTTGCGGTACAAAAGCAGAATTAAACCTAGCAAAAAATCTTTAGAGAGCTGGAAAAGCGATCAGGAAGAAGGATGCCTGAGATGGTATAAACAAATGGACCTAGAATGGATCTATAGAAGTACTTCATGGTTAAATTGTTCAAACCCAAGCCACTGAAACATTTTGATTTCTTTAGAATCGGGGAGATGAATAAGATCGTAAGTATTATGACTAATGTAATCAAATAATGACCTGTTCCAATATTATAATATGTTGGACATACCTTTCAAAGCTTATCAAAATTTATTTTATAAAAAGTAAGTTAATCGGAAAGAACCATGGTAGAATGTATGTGATGAGGCTTCCAGAAAACCAGCCAACCAACCAACACAACTCAGTCTGTCCCCAAATGTTTTCTTCTTTGATATAAAATTCCAGAGTGTTTTTTTCCTCTAGCAAATGAATCAATATTGGCAATTATGTTGTACTCAAGGATTACTTGACTTTTTTTAAACTGTTATTTAAGACACACTTTCAAAGGGTGATCAGTGAAGTTCTTTTATTTGGTCTTTAAGAAGGAGTTTCAGGAGACATACAGTGGTGTCAAGGGCAAGTTAACATCAGGGATCTAAGAGTTAGAGGTTCATTAGAATTGCCTAATGGTGAAGAGATTCAAAACGTGAAGTTATCTAGCAGAATTAGTGTGTTTTATATACTGTATGTTCTTTTAGAAGACGATCAACTTTCCTATAGAAAACGCTTACAATGTAGGACCTAAACTCACAAAACAGTGTTAAGCTGGGGCTGAAGAGAGGTAGTCAGAGACAGCCATTTGAGCATGGATTTTAGGAAACTTTCTTTGGCCTAAGTTTTCTACCAAAGGCCTTGTGTGTGGAAGAGTAACCGGAAAGAGGGTACTTTTCCATCTGTTGTCCATTTAGCTGTCAGCGCTTGTTCTGACGGAAAAGGAGCAGGGTCTTGAGTGACTGCTAGTCTGTCTGAAAGTATGGTAATGAGGCTAATTAGGAGAGATGAGAGCTGAACTAGATTTGTGAAGGCAATTACCCATCCAGCTTTTGTGCCACGCTTTATCTTTATCAGATCCCTCTTTTCTGATTTTGTCATTTCTCAAACATCGCAAGAATAATGAAAATGTCCAAAGCAGTCTGAGCAACGTGGTTGGTAGAAAAGAATAAAATAGACTAATGAAATCCTGGGAGCCTGCTTTCTGTTTGGACTCGTACGAAATCATAGATTTGGAGCATGGCTACGACGGTCCTGACTAGTATTGCTGTTCAGTTTACATAAATGAAA